TGTGTTCTATGTGCATCCATAATATAGCATGAATGCAGTTTGACATCATGGGTTCTAGGTGCATCTACAGAGTAGCATGAATGCAGGTTGACACCACGGGTTCTAGGTGCACCTACATTGTAGCATGAATGCAGTTTACACCACAGGTTCTAGGTGCATATACAGCATAGAATGAATGCAGGTTGACACAACAGGTTCTAGGTGCATGTATAGTGTAGAGTGAATGCAGTTTGACACCAAGGGTTCTTGGTAATCTACAGAGTAGCATGAATACAGGTTGACACCATGTGTTCTATGTGCATCCATAATATAGCATGAATGCAGTTTGACATCATGGGTTCTAGGTGCATCACCAGTGTAGCATGAATGCAGTTTGACACCATGGGTTTGAGGTGCGTCAGCAGTGTAGAGTGAATGCAGGTTGACACCATGGGTGCTAATACATCTATAGTGTAGCTTGAATGCAGGTTGACACCATGATTTCGAGGTCCATCTACATTGTAGCATGAATGCAGTTTACACCACAGGTTCTAGATGCATCTACAGTGTGGAATGAATGCAGGTTGACACCACAGGTTCCAGTTGCATCTACAGTGTAGAATGAATGCAGGTTGACACAACAGGTTCTAGGTGCATGTATAGTGTAGAGTGAATGCAGTTTGACACCAAGGGTTCTTGGTAATCTACAGAGTAGCATGAATACATGGTCGACACCATGTGTTCTAGGTGCATCTACAGTGTAGGATGAATGCAGGTTGACACCATGGGTTCTAGTACATCTATAATGTAGCTTGAATGCAGGTTGACACCATGATTTCTAGGTGCATCTACAGTGTAGAGTGAATGCAGGTTGACCCCCATGGGTTCTAGGTGCATCTACAGTGTAGCATGGATGCAGTTTGGCACTGTGGATTCTAGTTTATTTACAATGTAGAGTAAATGCAATTTGACACCGCTTTAACTATCATGGCTTCTGCAAAAGAGCACTGGTGCCTCACCAAACTGCAGTGCCCAGGATTATTTAGCATTGAACCATGGCAGTTAAAGGGGTGTCAAATTGTATTCATTCTACAGTGTAGATGCACACTAGATCACTTGAGAGGCCTTTGGCTAAAAGGAAGGTGATCTTGGAACCTTCTGCACATGCTCAAAAGTTTTGGATCCACCTTGAGCTACTTATGAAAATGTTACTTAGGAAGATACCTTGGCAACCAAAAAGGCAGCTATTTCCCCATCCCTTTGTATTGGGAAATGGAATTTAACCTCTCGCAGTGTAAAACAATGAGAACATTTTCATGGTTTAGTTCATCTTGGTTTGTTTATGCTCCAACCAGTGTCTCCTTCTTCTCCGCCTCCTTGTTTCTTGAGTGTCACTGAAGATCTTGGGTCTTCCCCCAGTACTTGAGGACCCCGTGGAAGCCCTGGATGGTCGCCATCCGGTCCTTCGGCCCCTGCCCCATGTGGCTGTCCTGCGGGATGAGCTCACCCAACTTTTTGAGGATGAGTATGACGAAGAAGAGGCAGAAGCAAGAGGCGAGCACACTTTGACTGAGAAATTTGGTAAGAAATTTGGATCATTTCCTTCCCGGTTTTTCATTGTTGGATTTGTTGGAGGGATATTGACAAGCTGGGTTGCAGCTCCTAGCACTTTCCACCATTGGCTGTGATAGCCAAGACTGTTGGCCGCATGTTTCCTATCTTTGTTCTAAGTGCTTCATGCTACTACAACTCCCAGAATTTCCAGTAATGGAGGTATGGCACTTACAACATCCCAAAGTGGTGTTAATTGTTCAGGATAGGCACATCATGCAGTTTCTCCTTAGTTGATCAATCAAAAATGCATACATAATGAGTACATATTAAAAAGTGCTGGGTGTGACAGGTGGTATGTTGGATTTCTGGGCAAGTGCAATCTGCAGAGAATCTTAAAACTCTAATAAAGTGCTTCTGGGACATAGTGCTGGAGTATTCCTATTCCGGAAAGGCACATCGGAATAGCCAGGTCTTCAAGCTCTTCCTAAAGACTGCCAACATGGGTGCTAGTCTGATGTCTTTGGGGAGGGTGTTCCAAAGTCGAGGGGCAACCACAGAAAAGGCCCTCTCCCTCGTCCCCATCAATCACGCCTGCGAAAGAGGTGGGAGTGTGAGCACGGCCTCTCCAGATGATCGAAGAGATCGTGTGGGTTCGTATACAGAGATGCGGTCACGCAGGTAGGCAGGTCCCAAACCGTTCAGGGCTTTGTAGGTAAGCACCTGCACCTTGAATTGGGATCAGAAGGTAAACGGCAGCCAATGGAGCTCCTTAAACAGGAGGGTTGACCTCTCTCTGTAAGGAGCGCCAGTTAACATCCTGGCTGCCTCCCGTTGGACCAGTTGGAATTTCCGAGCCGTTTTCAAGGGCAGCCCCACATAGAGCGCATTACAGTAATCCAATCTAGAGGTGACCAAGGCATGGACCACCTCCGGCCAGATCAACCTTTGCGAGGTACAGTCGCAGCTGGCACACAAGTCTCAGTTGTGCAAAAGCCCTCCCGGACACCGCCGACGCCTGAGCCTCAAGCGTCTTCACTGTGTCTGGTTGTGATCCCCAGGTTGTGCCAGTCAGCTTTCGTATGATATTGTTTCTAGCGCCCACTTTTTGCTTGATGTCCAGGCAGTGCTTCTTGTAGGTCAGAGCACAGTCCAGAGTGACTCCCAGGTATTTGGGTGTGCTGCAATGCTCCAGTGGGATTCCTTCCCAGGTAATCCTCAGAGCGGCATATAAATGTCATAAATAAATTAATAAAATAAATAAATTATTTGTTTGTGTCTTAATGGTCTACTAAACTAGCCTTTGTACTTGTACTTTGACTTATGGTTTATTTATTTTGTGACAAAAGCATTGCATAAATAAATAAGTCAAAAACTGGGCTGGCCAGTGTTCCCACAGAGCAGGCGTGGGCAAACTTGTGAAAAGTACGTGTGAACAAGATCTTGAAGTACTTGTGGACAACAAGTTAAACATGAGCCGACAATGTGATGTGGCGGCAAAAAAAGCCAATGGGATTTTGGCCTGCATCAATAGGAGCATAGTGTCTAGATCCAAGGAAGTCATGCTCCGCATGCTCTATTCTGCCTTGGTTAGACCACACCTGGAATATTGTGTCCAGTTCTGTGCACCACAATTGAAGAGAGATATTGACAAGCTGGAATGTGTCCAGAGGAGGGCGACTAAATGATCAAGGGTCTGGAGAACAAGCCCTATGAGGAGCGGCTTAAGGAGCTGGGCATGTTTAGCCTGAAGAAGAGAAGGCTGAGAGGAGATATGAGAGCCATGTATAAATATGTGAGAGGAAGCCACAGGGAGGAGGGAGCAAGCTTGTTTTAGACTAAGACACAACGGAACAATGGCTTCAAACTACAAGAGAAGGGATTCCATCTGAACATGAGGAAGAACTTCCTGACTGTGAGAGCCGTTCAGCAGTGGAACTCTCTACCTCCCCGGAGTGTGGTGGAGGCTCCTTCTTTGGAAGCTTTTAAGCAGAGGCTGGATGGCCATCTGTCAGGGGTGATTTGAATGCAATATTCCTGCTTCTTGGCAGAATGGGGTTGGACTGGATGGCCCATGAGGGCTCTTCCAACTCTTTGATTCTATGATTCTATGTTTGGGGCCTCCAGGTGTTTTGGACTTCAACTCCCACAATTCCTAACAGCCTCCCTGGCCCAAGTTTGCCCATGCCTGCTATAGAGTCATGATATGGCCAAAGTAGGACTGCCTCTGGGGGTCATTCAGTCTTGATGTGCTTTTGGAACCATTGATCGTAATTGCAATCTTAATGGCAGACTCCCTTCTTCCTCCTATTCTTCTTGGCAGTCTGCTTGGACGACACCTTTGGCCCTGACTGCAGCTTGACCTGCGAGGATTGCCAGAACGGAGGGGTCTGCAACGCAGAGCAGTCCGGTTGCATCTGTCCGGACGGCTGGAGCGGTCTCCTTTGCAACGAAAGTGAGTTTGAACTGTGTCGGCAAAGAACGGGTTCCGTTTTACGACCTGTCAAAGTATGTCCTTCCACGAGGCCATTAAAGAAGAAGTGTGATGGGAACGCAAGGAGCCAGCTGGCCTCGCCTTGCACGGAAAGCCCTCTCCGGTCTCCATTTGCCATGTTTGTGTTGGCCTGGAGCTCCCAGGCAAAGGCTTTCCAATAACGTTGTGTGAATGCTGTTACCATTATCTGCCCCCTGAGATCTCAGCCTGCAAGTTGAACTTGTGCCGCTTGGCCTCCGATTTGAGCCTTTCGCTCTGTCTGAAGTTTAAAAGCTCTCTGCAGCAAGCAAATTAGAAATACTATTTATTTAACGTAATGTTGGGTTGTTGTAGGTTTTTTGGGCTGTATGCAGGGGCAGCTCAACCATTATGCAAAGTAAGCATTATGCAAAGCAACCATTATGCAAAGTAAGCATTATGCAAAGCAACCATTATGCAAAGTAAGTTGATTTTGCCCAGGGGTGCTCTTGAGCGCTCTTGGGGGAAAATAGACCTTGACATATGCGAGTTGTAGTTACTGGGATGTATAGTTCACCTACAATCAAAGAGCATTCTGAACTCCACCAATGATGGAATTGAACCAAATATGGCACACAGAACTCCCACAACGAACAGAAAATATATATCAGTGATTGGTGGGGGGGGGCAAAATACTGTTTGCTTACCATTGAAAATTACCTAGGGCCGCCTCTGGCTGTATGGCCATGTTCTAGAAGCATTCTCTCCTGACATTTCGCCTGCATCTGTGTCAAGCGTCCTCAGAGGTTGTGAGGTTGCTTGCCACAGATGCAGGTGAAACGTCAGGAGAGAACGCTTCTAGAACATGGCCATACAGCCCAAAAAACCTACATCAACCCAGCAATTCCGGCCACGAAAGCCTTCGACAATACATTAAGATAATGCTTATTAAGTATATCTATTTATTTTTATTTATTGTGTCAGGAGCAAGCCAAACAGTTGTATTGCATTTTTTTAAACAAACCAGCAAACATAGAAAACACAAAGTTTGCAAGCTTGGTAGTTGATTAAATGTCCTTTGACCAGTATCTGGCCCCTTGGAGTGCCTCTGGTGTTGCCGCAAGAAGGTCCTCCATCGTGCATGTGGCAGGGCTCAGGTTGCATTGCAGCAGGTGGTCTGTGGTTTGCTCTTCTCCGCACTCGCATGTCAAGGATTCCACTTTGTGGCCCCATTTCTTGAGGTTGGCTCTGCATCTCGTGGTGCCAGAGCGCCAGTCTGTTCAGTGCCTTCCAAGTTGCCCAGTCTTCTGTGTGCCCAGGGGGGAGTATTTTCTGTTGGTCATATGGGTTCTGTGTGGGAAGGTTGGCCCAATTCTCCCGTTGGTGGGGTCTAGAATAATATAAGAAAAACCTAATTAAAGGGAATTCAAAAATAATGCCAGTTATAATGGAGGGGAAATTTCCTAAAAATCTAAAAAATGTGATGGATAAGGAGTTGAAAAAGAAGAAATTAGACAAAATTGGAAGTTGGATGGAACAAATAAAGGAGAAGAGCACCATTAAGGAAATCCTAGGTGAATTAAATATATCATGGCTCCATTGGGTCCAACTGGACCAATGGTTCAAAAATTGGAAAGGAAAGAACTTAGGGGAAAGAGAACCAACGAAATTTGAAAATATAATATTAAAAGAACTGGCTAAAGAAGAAAATGAGCATCAAAAAGGGACAACAAGTATTATATACAAAATATTAATAGAGATTAAAGGGGAGAGAAAAGGGATACAAATAAGGGGAACTATGGGAAGAAGAACTGGGAATAAAAATAGGAGAAAGGAATTGGGAAAAATTATGGAGAGCAAGATATAAGGAACCTTCGAGGCTCATCAAGGCAGGGGGGAAACAATCAAAGAAATCCCACCACTGCAAAACCAATTATAAGGATCTTAGAGGTATGGGTGATAAATCAATATCCCACCTCTACAACCAATTGTAATAACTCAAAAAGAGGCTGTTACAGGGTTTGAGGGGATGTCACGTTGTGTAAAACCTTCGCTGCCACCAAACTAAAGAAATCACGAACCCTCTAGCTATTTAAAAATGTCAGGCTGTTTTAAATTAATAAAAAGCTTGTTACTCCACCATTGGCTGTATATAATCAAGGGCTTTCTCTGAGGGGAAAACAGGAGAGGTTGATTTAAAAAGAAAGGGACTCAAAACCAAAAATAGCACTTGACTCAAGCTTTAAGTTTAAAAATAATAAGAAAGAGTTTATTGATTACAATTACTGAATAACACGAGAATGCAGGTACTGAGGCTTGATGGTTACAGAATAAAAGTGTTCTTGTTTCTTATAAGCGTATTGGTTTCTAGAGAGAATGTTCTTTCTTAGTTACAGTTTCATTAAACGCAGAACCCAGCTATTTTTCTCAAAAGTAGCTGTAATCTCAGTCTGTCACAGCCTACTGTGCTGTACAGACTAAAGGCAAACTGCCTATTTTAAACAGAGACTCCTAAACAATCCAACTTCTACACTAATCTCTCTCTCAGAACTCAAACTGCTCTCTACTCTTCTCAGAACTCAGCTGAACTAACTCTAAAACTGTCAAATCTCACTGTTCTCTTTCCCTCCTTCTGCCTAACTCCGCCCCTATTCTCTAAACCAATCCTAGCTGTTGCTGGGCTGGCACAGGCCTCAGCCACTCCCCCTTCTGCCCTGGAGCTTTTCCCTACTCTAAAATGGCTCCAGCAGCACTCTGCCAGGCCTTCCAACTGAATCTACCTAGCCTGTCTTTTCCTGGCCCTGCCACCCTGGCTGGCAAGGTAAGGGATCTTTACACAAGACACCTCAAGAATTTATCAATTAGGATAAAAGAAAACTACTATAAAATGGTATGGAAATGGTACCTGACCCCGACAAAGATCCATAATATGGATAAGAGTTGTTCAGAAAAATGTTGGAGGGGTTGCCAAGAAAGGGGTACGTATATCCACATGTGGTGGCAATGCAAATATGTACACAGGGGCGGCTCGTCTATTACGCGAAGTAAGCGGTCGCAGAACACTTTTTTTTGCCAGGGGCGCAGAGGCGCCTCTGTAAATGCCCCTCGACCGCCACTTGAGGAGTGCCCCCTCAGCTCACAACAGCTCCTAGCAGTTCGGGGGGAGCCTCAGCTTTCTTGCCTCGCTGCCGGGCGATCCTCTTCCCAAAGGGGCCGGGCCCTTGAGCCTCGCCTAGCCCCTCTCGTTCCTGCTCCACCCGGCCACCGGGTGCGCGAGCAGAGCCGGCGCTCAATCGTTCTCCGCGTTCGATCCCTTCCCCATGACCGGCTCCCTTTCCCAATCCCCGGTGCTCCACCCGCCTCCTCTCCTCTCCCCAATTGGCGGGTGGGCCAAAGGGTGGAGCTGCCACGCCTGGCCCGCTTCGGGTCCAGAGGCGTGTCTGAAGACCCCAGCGTGCGCACCAAAAGTCGCATCTTCTCCTGACTTTCTCTTCAGCCACTGGGACCAAGAGAGAGAGAGAGAGAGACACCTCTGCTCCCTCCTTTGTTTTTGCGCCTACCTTCAGGAAAGGTGGGCATCTCCCCCTCTCTCTCTCTCTCTCTCTCTCTCTCTCTCTCTCGGTCCCAATGGCTGAGGAGAAAGTCAGGAGAAGAGGTGACTTTTGTGCACACGCTGGGGTCTTCAGGCACACCCAAAGCGGGCCAGGCAAGGGAGCAAAAGTGGCAAGTGTAGTTACTGGGATGTATAGTTCACCTACAATCAAAGAGCATTCTGAACTCCACCATGATGGAATTGAACCAAATATGGCACCAGAACTCCCCATGAAAAACAGAAAATATATATCATGATTGGTTGGGGGGGGGGGCCAAGAAACGGGTACCACATGTGGTGGCAATGCAAATATGTAGAGAGTTTCTGGGGAAAAGTTATAGTAGAAATAGAAAGTATTATGAAGAAAAAAATTAATAGAAATCCAGCGACTATACTGTTATCTATTTACAATACAGATGAATGGAAGGAAAATGAAAAGAATCTGATAACAATGTTGTTAATGGCTGCAAGGCTACTAATAGCAAAATATTGGAAAGGAGAAGTGGAAATTAAGATAGAAGAATGGTACAAGGAAATTTGGAAATTAGCAATAAATGACACATTAACATGCAATTTAAAGGTTAAAAAAGGCCTAAGGAAGGATAATGATTTTGAAAATATATGGAAAATATTTATTGAGGAAACATTAAGGAAAGAAGATGGGAACCAACCCCCACCAGAAGAAATGAGGTTTTGGTGGGAGTACAAAGAAAAGAAGAACTCCGGAGATGGGGAGCACAAGGGGTAGCACAACTGGGGAAAGGGAAAAAAGTAATTATGTGAATTATAGAGATTGTTTTTGTAATGAAATGAATATAAATGCAATAAAATTTATTAGATGTTTAGAAAAAAAAGAGGAGAACAAGTTGAATCGCTATAAAGAATCTGGCTTAAAGAAAAGAATGAAGTAGTTTTTGTTAAGACTTATACATCTTTATTTCCTACTTTTCTTTCACTATATTGTTCCACCTCTTCTTATATATATATAGCATTTCTTTTGTGGTTAATAAAAAAATAATTTAAAAAAATAGAATGCTATTTGATTGTAGGTGAACTATAAATCCCTGCAACTACAACTCCCAAATGTCAAGGTCCACCAGTGTTCACATTTGGGCATATTGAGTACTCGTGCCAAGTTTGGTCCAGATCCATCATTGTTTGCGGCCACAGTTCTCTCTGGATGTAGTTGAACTACAACTCCAAAACCCAAGGTTAATGCCCACCAAACCCTTCCAGTATTTTCTGTTGGTCATGGGAGTTCTGTGTGCCAAGTTTGGTTCAGTTCCATTGTTGGTGGAGTTCAGAATACTCTTTGATTGTAGGTGAACTATAAATCCCAGCAACTACAACTCCCAAGTATCAAGGTCTAATTTCCCCAAACTCTACCAGTGTTCACATTTGGGCAGATTGAGTATTCTTGCCAGGTTTGGTCCAGATCCATCCTTGCTTGAGTCCACAGTGCTGGATGTAGGTGAACTACAACTCTCAAACTCAAGGTCAGTGCCCACCAAACCCTTCCAGTATTTTCCGTTGGTCATGGGAGTTCTGTGTGCCAAGTTTGGTTCAGTTCCATTGTTGGTGGAGTTCAGAATACTCTTTGATTGTAGGTGAACTATAAATCCCAGCAACTACAACTCCCAAGTATCAAGGTCTAATTTCCCCAAACTCTACCAGTGTTCACATTTGGGCAGATTGAGTATTCTTGCCAGGTTTGGTCCAGATCCATCCTTGCTTGAGTCCACAGTGCTGGATGTAGGTGAACTACAACTCTCAAACTCAAGGTCAGTGCCCACCAAACCCTTCCAGTATTTTCCGTTGGTCATGGGAGTTCTGGGTGCCAAGTTTGGTTCAGTTCCATTGTTGGTGGAGTTCAGAATACTCTTTGATTGTAGGTGAACTATAAATCCCAACAACTACAACCCCAAATGGCAGGTTTTTTTCCAAACTCTACCAGTGTTCACATTTGGGCAGATTGAGTATTTGTGCCTCATTGTTTGAGTCCACATTGTTCTACCTGGATGTAGGTGAACTACAACTCCAAAACTCTAGGTCAGTGCCCACCAAACCTTCCAGTATTTTCTGTTGGTCATTGGAGTTCTGTGTGCCAAGTTTGGTTCAATTCCATTGTTGGTGGTTCAGAATACTCTTTGATTGTAGGTGAACTATAAATCCCAGCAACTACCCAACTCCCAAATGTCAAGGTCTATTTCCCCAAACTCCACCAGTGTTCACATTTGGCATATTGAGTATTTTGTGCCAAGTTTGGTCCAGATCCATGTTTGAGTCCACAATGCTCTCTGGATGTAGGTGAACTACAACTCCAAAACTCAAGGTTAATGCCCACCAAACCCTTCCAGTATTTTCTGTTGGTCATGGGAGTTCTGGGTGCCAAGTTTGGTTCAGTTCCATTGTTGGTGGAGTTCAGAATACTCTTTGATTGTAGGTGAACTATACATCTCAGCAACTACAACTGCCAAATGTCAACATTTGGGTGAATCGGGTATTTGTGCCAAATTTGGTCCAGGGAATGAAAATACATTCTGCATATCAGGTATTTACATTATGATTCATAACAGTAGCAAAATTACAGTTATGAAGTAACAACGAAGTGTCTCCGGCGTTCCCTTCTCTAGCTTGCCCAGAGGGCACCTTTGGACGGAACTGCAGCTCGACCTGTCTCTGCCAAAATGGAGGCACCTGTGACCCCGTGACGGGGGGCTGCCGCTGCCCCCCTGGAGTGAATGGAGAGCGATGTGAAGACGGTAAGAACGGCCTGCTTGGGAGGCTAAACCATATAATTTATCGGGTGGACTTGGGTGTAGACTTGTGATAATTCGGCATGTCTCAGTTAAGAGCAACATCCACTGTTTTAACATGGTGGGATGTATTCCATACAGCAGAAGAGTAGCAAAGTGTGAGGGCAGATGTCTTCACTGTGTCTGGTTGTGATCCCCAGGTTGTGCCAATCACCTTTTGTAAGATATTATTTCTAGCACCCACTTTTTGCTTGGTATTCAAGCAGTGCTTCTTGTAAGTCAGAGCACAATCCAGAGTTACTCCTATGTGTTTTGGTGTGCTGCAATGCTCCAGAGGGATTCCTTCCCAGCATCTGACCACTTGGAGTGCCTCTGGTGTTGCCGCAAGAAGGTCCTCCATGGTGCATGTGGCAGGGCTCAGGTTGCATTGCAGCAGGTGGTCAGTGGTTTGTTCTTGTCCGCACTCGCATGTCGAGGATTCCACTTTGTGGCTCCATTTTCAAAGGTTGGCACTGCATCTCGTGGTGCCAGAGCGCAGTCTGTTCAGCGCCTTCCAAGTCGCCCAGTCTTCTGTGTGCCCAGGGGGGAGTCCTCATCTGGTATCACCCATAGATTGAGGTGCTGGGTTTGAGCCTGCCACTTTTGGACTCTCGACTTGCTGAGGTGTTCCAGCGAGTGTCTCTGTAGATCTAAGAAAACTATTTCTTGATTTAAGTCGTTGACGTGCTGGCTGATACCCAAACAGGGGATGAGCTGGAGATGTCTCTGCCTTGGTCCTTTCACTATTGGCTGCTACTTCCCGGCGGATGTCAGGTGGTGCAATACTGGTTAAGCAGTGTAATTTCTCCAGTGGTGTAGGGCGCACACCCCGTGATAATGCGGCATGTCTCATTAAGAGCCACATCCACTGCTTTAGCGTGGTGAGATGTGTTCCACACTGGGCATGCGTACTCAGCAGCAGAGTAGCATAGCGCAAGGGCAGATGTCTTCACTGTGTCTGGTTGTGATCCCCAGGTTGTGCCAGTCAGCTTTCGTATGATATTGTTTCTAGCACCCACTTTTTGCTTGATATTCAGGCAGTGCTTCTTGTAGGTCAGAGCACGGTCCAGAGTGACTCCCAGGTATTTGGGTGCTGCAATGCTCCAGTGGGATTCCTTCCCAGGTGATCTTCAGAACTCGGGATGCTTGTCTGTTCTTAAGGTGAAAGGCACATGTCTGTGTTTTAGATGGATTAGGGATCAGTTGATTTTCCCTGTAATAGGCAGTAAGAGCACCTAGAGCTTCGGAGAGCTCCTTACTTGTGTGGTGATGGCACGATCATCAGCATAGATTTAACTTTCTGTCCCTTCCGGCAGAGACTGGTCGTTTGTGTCAATGTTAAACATGGATGGAGCAAGCATGCTCCCTTGAGGCAGGCCGTTCTTCTGTTTCCGCCATCGGCTTCTCTGGCCTTGGAACTCAACAAAAAAGCTCCTGTTTTGTAGCAGATTTCTTAAGAAGTAAGTGAGATGGTAATCAGGAGCAGGCAATGATTTACAGTTTCATAAGGTGCTGACAGGTCTATGAAGACAGCTCCTGTAATTTGTTGTCTTTCAAAACAATCTTATATGTGCCGAGTCAGTTTTAGCGTTTGCGATGTGCAGCTTTTCCCTTTTCTGAAACCAGCTTGCCGTGGGATCATAAATGGAGGTGTTTTTCCATAATTCTGTGCAGAATAAGTCTCTCCAAAACTTTATAAAGATGGCACACCAGAAGCGACTGCAGTCTATTGTTGAGATGGAGGGAATTCACAGTCCCATTCTATTTTTCTTTGGTCAGATTTGACCTGGAATAATTATGTGTCCAGTTCTGGACAAAGCCATTCAAGAAGGTTATGGACAAGCTGGAAGGTATCCAGAGAAGGGTGATCAAAGGGTTGGAAACCCATTCCTAAGAGAAATGACTGAGGAAGCTGGGGATGTTTGGCATGGAGAAAAGAAGACAGAGGAGGCACATGATAGCTATGTTTCGATATTGGGAAGTATGTCCCATTGAAGAGGGGGCAAGTCTGTTTTCTGATGCTCCAGAGACTAGAATACGATGGAGCAATGGGTTCAAATGACAGGAAAGGAGATTTCCCCTTGCACACTATTATTTATTTATTTACACCATTTCTACCCTGCCCTTCTCACCCCTGAGGGGGGGACCCAGGGCGGCTAACACAGGCAGCAATTCGATGCCACAATATTTATTTATTTATTTATTTGCTTTGCTTCTATACCGCAGTTCTCAGCCCGGAAGCGACTCACCGCGGTTCGCAACACACAAAAAACAGCAAAAATTCAATGCACCAATATAAAAACAGTTAATGACCTAATCTAATACACAGTTAATACACAGTTACTATAATAGCCATTCACTAGCGTCTCATCACTAAAAACACGATCCAGATTCGTCATCCATTGTTCCATTCCTATGTCATCACCAATCATTGCACTAATTATTCGAACACCTGTGCAAATAACCAGGTCTTTACTTTTTTGCGGAATACCATTAGAGATGGTGCTAATCTAATGTCTGTAGGAAGGGTGTTCCACAGCCGGGGAGCCACCACCGAGAAGGCCCTATCTCTCGTCCCCGCCAGCCGTGCTTGTGAAGCAGGCGGGATCGAGAGCAGGGCCTCCCCGGAAGATCTCAAAGTCCTGGTGGGTTCATAGGCAGAGATGCGGTCGGATAGGTAGCTTGGGCCGGAACCGTTTAGGGCTTTAAAGGCCAACGCCAGCACTTTGAATTGAGCCCGGTAGCAGATCGGTAGCCAGTGGAGTTGGCGCAACAGGGGGGTTGTATGCTCCCTGCGCTCCGCTCCTGTTAAAATCATGGCTGCCAAGCGTTGGACTAGTTGGAGCTTCCGAGCTGTCTTCAAAGGCAACCCCACGTAGAGAGCGTTGCAGTAGTCAAGGCGGGATGTAACCAGAGCGTGGACTACCGTGGCCAAGTCAGACTTCCCAAGGTACGGGCGCAGCTGGCGCACAAGTTTTAATTGTGCGAATGCTCTCCCAGTCACTGCCGAAACCTGGGTTTCCAGGCTCAGCTATGAGTCCAGGATCACACCCAAGTTGCGAACCTGCACCTTCAGGGGAGTGTAACCCCATCCAGCACAGGCTGTAACCCTATGCCCTGTTCGGCCTTGCGACTGACCAGGAGTAACTCAATATCAGTAACATAATATAAAATCATCATACATAGCAAAGTTAAAAACAGTAACATTAATTAAAATCACATAATCACAAATCACAAAGTCACATAGCCGTTTCCAATTGTCATAACAGTCCTATGGTCCAAGTTCAGTGTCGAAAGTGCTGCTGTGCCTGTTCTGTCGCGCGCTGGGCCTGTAAATAATTGTCTTTAAACAGGACGTGTGGCTTGAGCCCAGCGGGAAGCCAGGGTCCCCCCGAAGAGAAGTTCTCAAGGATTTTCCACCAAAAATGATCTTTAGATGGCTTGTGGAGTATAACAAAGTTCTTTATTAATGAACAATCAAACAGAAACTTCTCTTGTCTTCAGTAAAGTTAAACAAATGATTCTAGGCTTTAATGCAACTGGTGGCTTCCTAATCTTGTCCACGAAGGACAGGCAATTGTCTTCAATAACTGTTCTTTACTTTAAAGGAAAAACCCCTTTTTAACTTCTCCCAGGCTGACTGTAATCTAATCCTTACTGATGTGGGCTCCACTACCAGGTCGAACTGCGTCTCGATCACCAAGTGGACCTACCAGTAAGGCCAGTAGACTCTCCAGCTGGAGTTCTTTGGTCTTCCAAACTGTTCACCTTCCGAAATTCTCAAAGCTTTGGGGATGTTTTCCTGGAAATCTTTGGAGATCTTTTGATGCTCTTAAGACTGTTTCCCCCCGGAAAGTCATAAGGGTTGAAGCTTTTGTACAGGAGAAGCTTGTACACATCCTCTACATTAGGTTTCCTTACTGAGACTAACCAAAAAATGGCTCCTTTCCCTCCCAGAGCCCTGAACAAGGGGTGGAACTGAAGCTTAATTATGATGGACAGGAGGCCTGCCCTATGACTGCAAACAGATAACAGAAAGAAAATAAAGTTGGAGCTCCTGTTTCAGCCGTACCAGCACAGTGCCCACTAGCCAAAGGCCTGGGTCCAAAACCATGATTTTAGTTTTTTCCTAAAAGAAAGGAGGGAGGACGCCGATCTGATCTCACTGGGGAACGAATTCCATAAGCGGGGGGCCACCACTGAGAAGGCCCTGTCCCTCGTCCCCACCAGATGCGTTTTGTGCAGCTGGTGGGACTGAGAGCAGGGCCTCTCCAGTAGTAGCAGAGGAGGGTTGGATTGGATGTCCCTTAGGGTCTTTCCCAGCTTGGAAGTCTGCATTATCTTGCTTTTGTTCCCTAAACAAAATCTTACGACAGTTGTTTTCTCCCTCCAACCCATCCCAGGTTGTCCCAAAGGTTTCTATGGGAAGCACTGCAGGAAGAAATGCAACTGCGCCCACCGGGGACGCTGCCACCGGATTTACGGAGCCTGCCTTTGTGACCCAGGACTCTATGGGCGATTCTGCCATCTTGGTAAATCAGCACCTTTTCCACCCTCTCTTTGCAATGAATCTTGGGTTGGTTGACGTAGAGTTATTAGGCATGTGTGATCCATAAAAAATAGTTCAAATGTACTTACAAAACTGGGGGGCTCTGGGGCTTCGTTTCTAAAGAGTTTCTAAACTTTGTTAGTGAAAATTTTGTTACAATAACGAGACTCACGAAATTTCATTACTATTTTGTTACATGTGCATTAATGCAGTAATTACTACCATTGGGGAAACTTCGGCTCCTATATCCCTCATTTTTAAAGCTAATGGAGTGAAACTTGCTACAGTGGTAGAACACATTTACCACTGTTAGCCCACCAAATTTCAGAATGTATCCCTTATCCACGGATTTTTGGGGAATTTTCAAATTATTTATAAACAACATTTTAAAAAACCCACAAGAGATATCTACTTGAATTTTATATACAGTGCAAGATAACCAGGGCATCAATCCCCAGAAGTTTAAGAAAGATTCACTCACCTACAAATTCTGGGGGATTTTTAAAGGTTTAGACAAAAACAATTTATACCCCCCCCCCAAAAAGCAACAGCAGCAATCCCTTTGAATCTCTGTCTGTCTATATGACACACAGCCACATAACTTCAACTTAGCACAGATTTATACTATTTTTATTTATTTATTTACCATATTTATATACCGCCTGTGACGATGTGTAACTTTTATTCTTATGGTTATGTGTTGTTTAAACAGTAGTTAATAAATGGTAAGTATGTAGGATTATATTTTGTTAGAGATAGTGGCTGGTTTGGCTTGAGCAGAGTTGCCATAGCAACGGGGGCGGAGCCAACTGTCACTTCATGGGGCAGCTGTTTGAAAGTGGCAGTCTGTAAGCCAGTGAGCTACAGGGAAGAATGATTTCTCTAGTGGGAGAATCAGGGAAGAGTCTGTGACTGGTAGAGTTACAGGGAAGACTGATTTCTCTAGTGGGAGAAACAGGGAACTAGTCTGTGACCAAAGAGTTACAGGAGAAGGTAGTTGATCCTGTGGTGTGTGGAAAACCATCAGGAATACTATAGTTAGAGAACTATAGGGAAGACTGGTTCTTTAATATTAAGAATCAGGGTTTGGCTGGGAGCCAATTCTGTTAAATAAGCCTTTTAGCTTATTTGTTTTATTAGGACAGTTGTCCAGGAAAGATACATCTGCTTATAGAAACCTCTTAAAGTCTGTACCTAAAGTTACTCATGAAACCTTACTAATGTAACCTATCAAGATTTGTGCCTCTTGCGAAGAAACAATCGAATCTGTTATACCTTGCTTGTTCCAATAAACTTGTTACTGTTTTCCTCAAGCCTTGCCTGATACAGTTTCTCCTAAGTCAAACAGCCTGCATAAGTAGAAAAACCAAACCAGGGACATTAAACGCTATGCTATCAAATAAATAAATACTTCTGTAACTAATAGTCCCTTTATAAACCAGCTCCTAAGTTGATGCTGAGAATTACAGGGCTTCCTCACAAATTTGGTGGCAGTAATTTTACCCTCCTTCCCTTTCTCAGTCCGGAGGCGACTCAGGGTGCTTTACAATCAGCAAAATTCAATGCCCCCAACAACATAAAATATAATTAAAACATCAACATATATAATATAAACCATATAAAAACAATAAAGACAATAAAAACAATAAAACCTAAGTCCTCAACGTCTCATTACTAAAATAATTTTCCAATCGTTCCCTGGATCTAAATTAGTCTGTTACACTGCATTTGCAAATGCTTGCTCAAAAATCCAGGTTTTAACTCTTTTTTGAAATGTTAGGAGGGAAGGGGCCGATCTGATATCCCTAGGGACGGTGTTCCATAGCTGAGGGGCCACTGCTGAGAAGGCCCTGTCTCTCATTCCTGCCAGATGCATCTGTGAAGGAGGCGGGACTGAGAGCAGGGCCTCCCCAGATGATCTTAGAGTGTGACCTGGCCTTCTGTATAAAATGTTTGAGGACCCCTGGATAGATGCACCCCATCTATTTATTTATTTACACCATTTCTATTCTGCCCTACTCCTCACCCCACAGGGGACTCAGGGCGGATCACAGTGTACACATATATGCCAAACATTCCATGCCAATTTTTGACATACAAACATATACAGACATACACAGAGGCTATTTAATTTTTTTCTGGCCACCAGGGGAGCTGTCGCTTTCCTCGTCCATCTGCGACACTGATGAAGCACTTCCGCATTCCCCGCATGCTTCCCCGCTGGAATGCTTTGCTGGAGTCTTCTTTATGGCCTCATAAATCAGTTAATTTAGCCTCCCCACACTTTAAGATGGTACCTAATTTTCCTACTTGCCAGATGCAACTGTCTTTCGGGTTGCAAAGGTCGACAACAGGCTACACACAATTGGTTGGAAACCCACTCCAACTCGGGCTGGCTTCGAACTCATGACCTTTTGGTCAGTGTGATCTTAATGCAGCTGACACTCAGCCAGCTGCGCCACAATCCCAGTGTCACTTCTTTCCTCTCATCCTCAGTTTTACTTGTTACTTTCTGTCCTTTTGGGGTTATTGGCTATTAGCTTTTAAACCAGCTCTTCTTTCCCCATTTTGAATAATTTCTCTCTCCTCCCAAACCCGGTATCAGCTTGCCCAAAGTGGGCCTATGGCATCGGCTGCTCCGAGGAATGCCAATGCGTGCAACACAACACTCAGGATTGCGACAAAAAGGACGGCACATGTCTCTGCAAGCCTGGCTACCAGGGCAGGAAATGCCAAGCAAGTGAGTTGGGTTTTTTTGGTGAAATTTAAATAAAAGAGTATCTCCAGAGGAGCATAGAACATTTGTCCTCTATGAAACCATATTGTTGGGTTATCCAGATCAATATTATATATCCCGGGGTGGAATTCGTATAGCGCACACATGGCTTGGGTGCATCTATGTTGTTGAATCGATGCAGTTTGAGTCACTTGAACTGCCATGAATTTGGTTTCCTTGCCAAACTGCAAATCCCAGGATCCGACAGCATTGAGCCAGGGAAGTGAAAGTGGTGTCAAAACTGCATTTATTTGACAGTGGATGCACTCCTAGAAGCCCCTAGCAATGCTGATCCATCGTAATGACTTATTTATTTTCCAGGGCAGGATGAAAATAGAGTACTGCTCAAATTGATTGTAAAAGGAAAAGGAAAACAAATGACGGAGTCAATCAGATTACAATCCAGACCCACTCCATACTTTGCAGTGTTCCCCTGAACCCACAATATAACTAGATAGATGGATAGATAGATAGATAGATAGATAGATAGAGAAATAGATAGATAGACAGGATTATACAAGCTCAGAAGTAGCATCCTAGGCTATTATTATTATTATTATTATTATTATTATTATTATTATTATTATTTCCTCTTCTTTCTCATCTTCATCTTCATCTTCAATTATTATTATTATTATTATTATTATTATTATTATTATTATTATTATTATTATTCCATTATTCTATGACCTATGCACTTTATTCACTAGCCCTATCCTCTAAATTGTTTTTGCACCAGTTTGCCCATTTGTGAGAGAAGTTCATTTTATTGTTTACTGTTGTTGGTTTTGGTGCTTGTTTTTATATGTGGTTATAATGTTGTTGGTTTTTATTATGTTTTATACTGTTGCTATATATTTTAGCGTGTTATGTTTTAACAGTGTTGTTCAGGCTTGGCCTCATGTAAGCCACCCCGAGTCATTTTGGGGAGATGGAGACAGGGTACAAAAATAAAGATTATTATTATTATTATTATTATTATTATTATTATTACTTCTCTTCCATTATTATTATTATTGTTGTTGTTATTATTATTATTATTTCCTCTTCCATTATTATTGTTGTTGTTGTTGTTATTAATATTTGAAACACAACAAATGAGTCCACAGTAGACACAATACTGGCTGTTGTATTTGATCACACATCAGACACTTCCCAAGTGTCTAGGACTGTGCTAGGCCTGTTTGATCAAGAAAAAATTTGGTTCTAAAATCGATTTGTAATTGGGGTGTTTTTTTGTTTCGATATTTAAAATAATTACAAAACTTTCCAAAAAAAAGTTTTGGTATTTAAGAAATTTTGTAAATATTAACGAATTTTAGAATATTTTTGGTATTTCTTAAGAATAATATTAAAATAATATTAAAAAATATTTTAAAATGGAAAATTAACCAAAAAATGGCCCAAATGTGGACCAAACACAGGCAGGATACAGCAAATGAGAGCACACACCAACAGAAGAGTCTTTTCTTTTTTAGAATATTTTTTAAAAATAATATTAAAATAATATTAAAAAATAATATTAAAATAATATTTAAAAATATTTTAAAATGGAAAATTAACCAAAAAATGGCCCAAATGTGGACCAAACACAGGCAAGAGACAGCAAATGAAGCAAGCAGCACTCACAGCAGCAAGGAATGAATCCAATCCCAGTTGCTAGCAGCCATTGCCAAGCCAACCCAATGCAAACTCCCTCGCCCTCTGCAGCAAGCTACGGGCCGCGCGGAGCCGCTTTGAAAGGGCTCGCCGGCCAATCAAAAACAGACAGCCACGGACCCATGGTGCACTGCTTGGGAGCGCCGGATTGGCTCCCAGGCACCAGCACTCCAGCAGCCTCCACCCCATTAACGAAACGAGCGGAGGCTCGTTAAAACTATGGGGGTTGCTGGTTCGATATTTAAAAACCCTTCCGGGTTTGGAAATATGTTTCAATATCGCTTCGGAAATGCCAAAAATAACGAATTAATAACGAATTAACGAACGAAACCGCACAGGCCTATGTAATACATGTAGATCCTAGTAGGGTGATCTTTTGCAGCAGGCAGATGGTAATCTTGTCAGCACCAATTGCGTTTAAGTGCAGGCCAGGGTCTTTAGGCACTGTACCCAGTGTGTCGATCACCACTGGGACCACCTTGACTGGCTTGTGCCAGAGTCTTTAACAACAACAACAACAGGAAAAACTCAGCCGCTATCAATACCTCAAAATCGAACTGCAAAGGCTCTGGCATAAACCAGTACAGGTGGTCCCAGTGGTCATTGGCGCACTGGGTGCTGTGCCAAAAGATCTCAGCTGGCATTTGGAAACAATAAACATTGACGAAATCATGATCTGTCAACTACAAAAGGCCACCTGACTTGGATCTGCGCGCATCATTCGAAAATACATCACAGAGTCCTAGACGCTTGGGAAGTGTTCGACTTGTGATTTTGTGATACGAAATCCAGCATAGAGGTCTCGTTTGCTGTGACATACCGTGCTTTTGTGTCAATAATAATAATAATAATAATTATTATTATTATTAGATACATAACAAGATCAGTACACAGCAAACAAGATCACTGTGCTGGCTTTTGTATTGGATCACATGTCGGACACTTCCCAAGTTTCTGAAACTGTGTGATGTATTGGCAAATAATAATATTAACCTTTATTACTCCATTATTATTTTCCCCTCCTCTTCCACCTCCTCTTTCTCCAGTTTTCTTTTGGGGCCCATGATTGGTAAATGCTAATGATGGCTTTATTATGACTCTGGAGAAGGGAGTTTGAATCCCTGCTCATCCCAGGAAACCCACTGGATGGAATTTAAGCAGGTCATAAATCAGTCCCATCTTAAGTTGGAATTAAGACCAGCCACTGGTTTAATACAGATCTAATCCTTTGTGCAGAATGCGAACCAGGATACTATGGTGCCAGGTGCAAGAGCAAATGTGATTGCCCAGCCGGAGTACCTTGCGATCATGTGAATGGAGAGTGCCAGAAGCTCTGTGGTGAAGGCTACCATGGGAAGAACTGCACCCAAGGTGAGATCCGCACTGATGTTTCCACAGGGCAAGGTTTGAGTATCTGTTTGCATGAGGTTCACAGGGTTCTGTAAACTTGTCTACCGCATTCTGGATAAAGGGAGTTGGGGAGATGCAACTCCCAGGATTCTATAGCATTAAGGATTGAGTTCAAAGGGTATTGAACTGCATTAATTCAGCAGTGTAGATGCACCCTAGGTCTCAAAGAGTTATAGTTTTCAAACTTGTAGTAACATTCTCTAATTTCTTCCAATTTCCACTCACTTGTCATTTATGATCACAGTTGCTAGAAGATCAGGTTTTCCAAATAAATGTCTCAGGTTACTTTTGCTTCGATGGAAGGAAGGGTGTGCTGGTACAGCTGTACCAGGAGCTCCAACTTCATTTTCTTTCTATTGTCTGCATGCATTCCAAGGTTTCGGGCATTCTGCAAAGGTGACTTCCCTTGGTTTGCATTTATAGGGCCAATGACCCATCAATCATTGTTAGTTTTTGGTTCCGCCCCTTTCCCCAGGGCCCTGGGAGGAGAGGGAGCCATTTTTAGTTTAGTCTTACAGAAGGAAATTAAGCTATAGGATATGGACTAGCTCCACCTGCAGAAAAGCTTCATTCCCTACAGCTTCGGGGGAAACAGCTTCCGGGGGGAAATAGTCCCACCTCGGAGTTTAAGATCTTCTGGGGATGCCCTGCTCTCGGCCCCACCTTTATCACAAGTGAGACTGGTGGGGAAAGGGGCAGGGCCTTCTCGGTGGTGGCCCCTCACCTGTGGAATGCACTCCCCGGGGAGATTAGGTCATCAACATCCCTCCTTTCCTTCAGAAGGAAGTTAAAAACCTGGATGTGGGACCAGGCCTTTGGGTAAGCTGGCAGGTGGACAAAAAACAATGACAACCAGAGTAGGAAAGGACAATGACGATACTAGGTGGATTACGGATTTATGGTCAATTTGTGGTCAATTGGCTAACATTGACCACAAGATGATTTTATTGCTGCTATTTTGCTGTTTTGATTGTTTTAACTAGTTATAACTGTTGACGTTATATTGTAATTTTGTATATTGTATTTTGTGAATTGTTGGGCATTGAATTGTGCCTTTTGTAAGCCGCCCTGAGTCCCCCCTAGGGGGTTGAGAAGGGCGGGGTAGAAGCACCCCAAATAAATGAAATAAATAAATAAATAGTCCCAAAACTCTGGCTGGGAACTTACAGCCTCTCAGCCTTACAGCATTCGGGGGAAAAAGTTTTACAGACCCAAAGAACTCCAGCTGGAGAATCTACAAAGCCTTGACTGGTAGGTCTACTCGTGTGAAGGAGTGTGGTTAAACTTACTGCCACCTAATCTGTGAGGGAAGCCGGGCAACGATCAATTTCAGCTTAGGAGCTATTTTATAAAGGGACTATTAATTACAGAAGGCTTTATTCATTTGATAGCGTAGCGTTTACTGTCCTTGGCTTGACTTTACTTCTTATGCAGGCTGTTTGTCTTAAGAGAAACTGTATCAGGCAAGGCTTGAGGAAAACAGTAACAAGTTTATTTTAACAGGAGTATAACATGTTTAACTGTTTCTTCACAAGAGGCACAAATCTTGATTGGTTACATTAATAAGGTTTCATGAGTAATCTCAGGCACAGACTTCAAGAGGTTTCTATAAGCAGATGTAACTCTTCTGGACAACTGTCCTAAATAAAACAAATAAGCTAAAAGGCTTATTAACAGAATTGGCTCCCAGCCAAACCTTGATTCTTAACTCAGAATCAATAACCCCCTGTAGTTTTATCACTACCGGGTCCTTTTCTGTAACCCCTTTGGTCACCAATTAATTCCCTGAATCTCCACCCAGAGACTCAGTCTTCCCAGTAGCTCACCGGCTTACTGACTGACTTTTTCAAAACAGCTGCCCTGTGAAGAGGCAGTTGGCTCCGCCCCTGTTGCTATGGCAACCCAGCTAACGCCAAGCCACCATCTCCAACAAAATATATTCCTTCATACTTACCATTTATCAACCACTGTCTAAACAACACATAAACATGAGAATAAAAGTTACACATCGTCACAACTCGGGACCCAAGAAGTAGTTTGGAACCGGTAGTAGGACCCACATCAGCAAAGCCTAGATAGTAGATTGCCTGGGAGAGGTTAAAAAAGGGTTTTCCTTTCAAAGGAAAAGAAACAGTTCTCAAAGCCAGTTGCCTGTCCCTTGTGGACAAGATAAAGAAAGCCACCAGTCATTTGTATGATTGTTGTTGAAGATTGAAGAAGTATTTGTTTAATTTGTTCAATAATAAAGGACTTTGTTAAACCTTTCAAGCCTCTAAAGACTCTTCCAGAGGAAAATCCTTAGGGCCTCTCTATCAAGGCACCCTGGCTTCCCGCTGGGCACAAAGTGCACGACCTGTTCAAAAGACAATTATTACAGGCCCAGTGTGTGACAGCACAAAGGGAGAGAGGGAAGGTAGTATTTTTCGTTACCGAAAAGCCAGATACCCTTTTCACAGGACAGAGTTGTCATGTTGGAGCAATTTGAACCATGATAACGAGGGTTGACGAAGGCGAGTTGGAAGCAGTTTAAGAAAAAGAAGGTGGTGGAAATTTTAAGCCAACAGGAAGGTCTTGCAGGAAATAACATGCATTTTTATGGCAACGTTGAGTTCTGGGCTTGAATACCAAATCTGGAAACTATTAGAAATGAAGAAGAGCATCTGCCGCTAATTAACGGAGAGGAAAGAACGTGCCAAAGCGATGCCATCCTTTGCTTTAAAGCTCCAAATTGGTGTGTCTCTCCCAACCCGCAATTTCTTTCAAACATAAGTGTCCCACAAATATCCCAAAACTACGTTCAAGTGTTTGGCGAGAAAGTTTGTCCCAGCACCGATTTCTCTTGGAGGCCTACATTATTATTATTATTATTATTATTATTATTATTATTATTAATAATATACTGTATATACTCCAGTATAAGCCTAGTTATTCATCCCTTTTTGTAGGCTGAAAAAGTCCGCCTCATCTTATACTCAAGTCAAGGTTATTTATTATTTTACTCTATTTATTATTATTATTATTATTATTATTATTATTATTATTATTATTACATTTATCGTTTTACTCTTATTATTACATTTATTATTTTACTTTATTATTGTTATTATCACATTTATTATTGTTCTGGTACAGCTGTATTTGCTTTGTATTAAATGTTTGCTTGCAGTCCTAGGTTTCAGGGACTCTGCAGATAGGTGGCTTCTTTTGGTTGCAGTCATAGGGCAAGTCACCCTATCGTTAAGTTTTGGTCCCGCCCCTTGCTCAGGGCAATTGGGAAGGGAAGGGAGCCATTTTTTAGTTAGTCTCAGCAAGGAAAGCTAATGTATAGGATGTGTGCAAGCTTCCCCTGTACAAAAGCTTCAACCTTTAAGAATTTCCAGGAAAACAGCTCTAAAGACCAAAGAACTCCAGCTGGAGAATATCTAAACCTTTACTGGTAGGTCCACTCGGTTCTTCGAGACGCAGTTCGACCCGGTAGCGGAGCCCACATCAGTTAGGGTTAGATTACAGTCAGCCTGGGAGAAGTTTCAAAAAGGGGATTTTCCTTTAAAGAAGAAGTTATTGAAGACAGTTGCCTGTCCTTCGTGGGCAAGATTAGGAATTCACCAGTTGCCTAAAAGCTTGGAATCATTTGCTTAACTTTACTGAAGACAAGAGAAGTTTCTGTTTGATTGTTCATTAATAAAGGACTTTGTTGTACTTCACAAGCCATCTAAAGACTATTTGTGGTGAAAACCCTCTGAGAACTTATCTTTGGGCCCCCTGGCTTCCCGCTGGGCAAAGGTTGCACGTCCTGTCTTAAAGGAAATTCTTTACAGGCCCAGCGTGGGACAGAACAATTATTTTACTCTATTATTACTGTTATTATTATGTTTCCCTTATTTTACTCTATTTTTTAAATAACATTATTATTATTATTATTATTATTATTATTATTATTATTATTATTATGAGTTGCCTTTGGGCTTTTTGAACTGTTTGAATAGCTCCCTCTTCCTCTTTTCTTGTGATTGTAGAGTGTCCTGAAGGCAAATTTGGGGTGAACTGCCTACAGTCCTGTTCCTGTAGTGGCTCGCCTTGCAACCCATTCACTGGCCAATGCCTTTGCGTGGCTGGGAAGACTGGCGTCGATTGTGGCCAAGGTGAGTCACATCCAGATATTCCATTCCGATATTTCCGGTTCCGAAACTTAGAGGGACTGCATTACAAAGAGGAAACAGAATAATTGTTTTATATGGAGATCAAGAGAAGTTGGCGAGACTGTACAGAAGATCTGTATAGGAAGGATAATAATATGGAGGATAGTTTTGACGGCGTGGTGAGTGAATTAGAACCAGACATCCTGAGGAGTGAGGATGAATGGATCTTAAGAAGCAAGGCAGCAGGAGACAACGGGATCCCAGCCGAACTGTTCAAAATCTTGGAAGACGATGCTGTCAAGGTGATGCATGCCATATGCCAGCAAATATGGAAAACACAAGAATGGCCACCACACTGGGAAAAAATCCACTTATATTCCCATACCAAAAAAGGGAAATGCTAAAGACTGCTCAAACTTTCATACAGTGGCCCTTATTTCTCACGCTAGTAAGGTAATGCTCAAGATCCTGCAAGGAAGACTCCAGCAATACATGGAGAGAGAGTGGCCAGATGTTCAAGCAGAGGAATGAGAGACCATATTGCCAATATCCGGATGCTGGATAATGGAGGAAGGCAGGGAGTTCCAGAAAAACATCTATTTCTGTTTCATTGACTACTCTAAAGCCTTTGACTGTGTGGATCATAATAAATTGTGGCACAGTTTTGGTGGTATGGGCATACCAAATCACCTTGTCTCTCTCCTGAGGAATCTGTATAAGGACTAAGTAGCAACAGTCAGAACTGACCACGGAACAACAGATTGGGAAAGGAGTACGGCAGGGTTGTAGACTCTCCCCCAACCTATTCAACTTGTATGCACAACACATCATGCGATGTGCAGGGCTTGTCAAATGCAAGGCTGGGGTAAAAATTGCTGGAAGAAACATTATCAACCTTAGATATGCAGATGATACCACTTTGATGGCTGAAAGCGAGGAGGTGCTGAGGAGCCTTCTAATCAAGGTGAAAGAAGAAAGCGCAAAATCTGGGTTGCAGTTAAACATTAAAAAAACAAGATTATGGCAACAAGAGTGATTGACAACTGGAAAATAGAAGAAGAAAACGTGGGGGCAGTGACAGACTTTGTATTTCTAGGTGCAAAGATGACTGCAGACACAGACTGCAGCCAGGAAATCAGGAAACACTTCCTTCTTGGGAGGAGAGCAATGTCCAATCTCGATAAAATCGTGAAGAGTAGAGACATCACACTGGCAACGAAGATCCGCATAATCAAAGCCATGGTATTCCCCGTAGTCACCTACGGATGTGAGAGCTGGACCATAAAAGGAAGAGTGAGTGAAGGAAGAGAGGTGCTTTTGAGCTGTGGTGTTGGAGGAAAGTTCTGAGAGTGCCTTGGATCGCGAGAAGATCCAACCAGTCCATACTTCAGGAAATAAAGCCCGACTGCTCATTGGAGGGAAGGATAGTAGAGGTGAAGATGAAGTACGTTGGCCACATCATGAGAAGAAAGGAAAGCTTAGAGAAGACAATGATGCTGGGGAAAATGGAAGGAAAAAGGAAGAGGGTCCAACCAAGGGCAAGATGGATGGATGGTACCCTTGAAGTGACTGGCTTGACTCTGAAGGAGCTGGGGGAGGTGATGACCGACAGGGCACTCTGGCGTGGGCTGGTCCATGAGGTCACGAAGAGTCGGAAGTGACTGAGCGAATGAACAACAAAATGGAGAAAATCAGAAGAAGGGGCTGCGGGTTAAACCGCTAAGTTTCAGAACTTGCTGATTGGAAGGTCAGCTGTTTGAATCCAAGGATGGGGTGAGCTTCCGTCGCTAGCCTCAGCTTCTAATTTAATAAGGGGCACTAACCCCTCTATTATCCAGAGATTCTTAAATGAGGGGTTAATAAGTACTGTATTGCAAAGTGTATATCAATCTACCAACGTGGATGGTGGAGCATCATCTTTGCTTGATGGTTTGTCCACCTGCCTTCTTCCCAAGAGATTTCTTTGGAGGCAATGCTGAGGGAACAGTCCAGAAGTTGAGAGTGGTGTTTGTAGACTGCCCATGTTTTCGAACTGTGTCCTTCCCTCTCATTTCAGATTGTCCTGAAGGCCACTGGGGACCAGGCTGCCAGGATATCTGTCCGGACTGCCAGAACAACGGCCGCTGCGTCCCTACCACCGGCGTGTGCCTCTGTGCTCCTGGATATGCAGGCAACTTTTGCCAGGATGGTAGGCAGCTTTTTCCTTTTTGCTTGGATTAGAGGAAGCATTGACCATATCCGTTATACTCCAGTGGTTAACTAATAGTTGCAGGGCAGAGTTGTGTTATGGTTGTCTCTGGATGCTAAAGTCCAGCTAGGAAAGAAGGAGCAGCCATTCCCCCTAGATATCAGACTTGGTGTCAGGAGTCAATTTCTGATGGCATGAAGACACCACAAATTCCCTCCGTGACATCTTGACTGAATCATCCTGGCTGAATCAATTCTCTCTGTGACATTTTGAAGCCAGCAGAAAGGCGCTGGAAACCTTGTATCTGAACTTGTGAAGCACCAAGTTATAATAAGGAAACTGAGAAGAGGGGGGAAATGGGCAGGAAAGGTATATAAAAGGAAGTGGTGGTGGGGAAAAGTCAGTAGTGTCTTTCTTTGCTGCAGAGATACAAGCAATCTATCCATTTCAAAGCAAAAACGGCTTGTGAGTGGTTATTTAATATTGCTATATAGATCCTACAGTCTTACACTTGGGATGTTTTTCCCTCTTAGTCAAATCTTGCCATTGTTACCCATTTGGAAACCCTCTGAAAATGGCTTCTGTATGACCTTTAACTGATTAGAATAGAATCATCTTCCCTTGAGAAAAGGAGCAAGTGACTAGACTGCGTTCCATTGCAGATCTGCTACTCTCAAAGGTACACGATCTCTCTCTTTCCCATGCAGAAGAGCGGTGAGTGGACCAGACTCCTCTGGTCTGCCACAGTTTTGGAATATTAGAAGGTCTCTTATATAGCAATATTTCTTGCTGATGTTGTTCCAAAGTTGTAAATAGATGTTTTTCCATCCTGGTTTCATCTCAGTTCCTGGCAGATGTTGACTCTCCTTAATTGGGTTGATAAACGTAAGGAACAATGTGTTGACTTTCTTCTTAATGTAAGGAACCTTGTAAACATTTCCTTAACTTAAGAGAGCCATTGTCCCTGATAATGTAAACACACTATTTTTCACCAAAAGTTCAACAGTTAATCATCACAGTTCTCAGCAGCAACTTTTAATTACTGTCCATGAATTCTTCACCTCCTTCTTGTAGCTTTCCAGGCTTCATTTCTTAGGATGATATCTCTAGACTATATAGACCCCAACCATACATCTTTCATACAATCCATTCAAACCATTCATCATATTTCATGACATGGAGTGATTCCAAGGGCCATCCAGTCCAAGCCTGTTCTGTTATGTGAAAGTAGATCAAAGCATTCCTGACAGATGGCCATGCAGCCTCGGGCTAAAAACCTGCCGAGAAGAAGTCTATCAGACTCCCTGGCAGCATATTCCACTCTTGCAGCTCCTTTATGGAAATAATAATAATAATACACTTTAATTATATTCCACTCTACCTCTCCGAGAGGACTCAGAGCAGATTACTGAATACACATATATAGGCAAACATTCAATGCCTTCTATACAGTGAACAATGACATACAATACACAAACAAAGGCAAAGGTTCCCCTTTCCATCTCCAGCTTTCTGGAGGCAGTGCTCAATTCTGGCCATGGGGAGATGCTCTTGTTCCATTTCTAAGCTGAGGAGCCTGTTGTCCATAAACACCTCCTGGTTGTGTTGCTGGCATGGCTGCAACATGGGGATGTTAGGTGTCTTGTATCCAAATTTGGTGTCAATTCGTCCAGTGGTTTTCGAGGTAAGTTAATCCCACAAACGATCATTACATATTTATTCATATAGATAAAGTTGGAAGAGACCTCCAGGGCCATCAGCACAATCCTATTTTGCTCTGCAAGAATACACAATGTTTTGCATCCTTTGCCTTTGTCTTGCAGTGTGTCCACCTGGCTGGTATGGGCAGGATTGCCAACTGCCCTGCAACTGTGGGAATGAAGGGCATTGCCACCCGGAGACAGGGAGGTGCAGCTGTGCCCCCGGATGGACTGGCTATCAATGTCAAAGAGGTACCTGTTCATAGTCATAGAAGAAACCCACAAGGGCCATCTAGTCCAACTCCATTCTGTATGCCTAGCAGTATCATTGGTTCTTACTCGAATCAACATAAAAGGGGGAAGATGATGGAGCTTGAGGAACCTGGTGATCCTCTGAGTGACATAGTGTATTTTTGTCCCTGGGAGGGAGCATATTTCTCGAGCCATCCCATCTGATCTGGAAATGATGGCATCCATTCCTCTAAGTCAGCGTTTCTCAACTTGGGGGTCGGGAACCCTGTGGGAGTCGCAAGGGAGTGTCAGAGGGGTTGCCAAAGATCATCAGAAAACACAATATTTTCTGTTGATTATGGGGGTTCTGTGTGGGAGGTTTGGCTCAATTCTATTGGTGGGGTTCAGAATGCTCTTGGATTGTAGGTGAACTATAAATCCCAGCAACTACAACTCCCAAATTTCAAGGTCTAGTTCCCCAAACTCCACCAGTGTCCACATTTGGGTATATTCAGTATTCGTGCCAAGTTTGGTCCAGATCCATCCTTGTTTGAGTCCACAGTGCTCTCTGAATGTAGGTGAACGATAACTCCCAAACTCAAGGTCAATGTCCACCAAAACCTTCCAGCATTTTCTGTGGGTCATGGGAGTTCTGCGTGCCAAGGTTGGTACAATTCCATCATTGGTGGAGTTCGGAATGCTCTTTGATTGTACCTAAACTATAAATCCCAGCAACTACAACTCCCAATAACAAAATCACCTCCCCAACTCCACCAGTATTCATATTTGTGTGTATTGGGTATTTGAGCCAAATTTGATCCATTGAATGAAAATACATCCCAAATATCACATATTTACTTAGTGATTCATAACAGTAGCAAAATTACAGTAATAATAATAATAATAATAATAATAATAATAATCTTTATTTATGCCCTGCCACCATCTCCCCAATGGGGACTCGAAGCAGCAACAAAAATAATGTTATGGTTGAGGGTCACCACAACATGAAGAACTCTATTAAGGGGTCGCAGCATTAGGAAGGTTGAGAACCACTGCTCTAAGGAGGGAGTCACCTACTACCGAGACCCGTTTCCTTTGAGGATTGACAGGGCCCCCTTTGTGTAAGGTCTCTCCTTTCCTTCTGCAGCCTGCGATGCTGGCTACTGGGGTCCCGACTGTGCCAACACTTGCAACTGCAGCAACAGCGATGGGAGCTGCAATGCCTTGACTGGGCAGTGCCTCTGTGAGGCTGGCTATACTGGGTCCCGTTGTGATCGGAGTGAGTACTGTCTTACAATGAGAAACATTTGTGCCATACCTTCATGAGCTCCTGTGCACCCAAACGGGACATTTTTTTTCCTGTTTTATCAAGTGCTATGTTTTTTTTTATTTTCAATTTACATATTCCTAAAAACAATGAGATACACATACACACACACATACATGAGGATTATATGGAAAGTAAGGTTACAATGCACATAGCTCTCTCTGAGAAATTTTGCGGGGGAAGTTGGTATCACTGATGTATAGCTACCAGCTGTTAGGAATTGTGGAAGTCGGAGTCCAAAATACCTGGAGGGTTGAAGTTTGCTCGCGCCTGGTATATAAGGTAAGTGGCAAACATAATACTAGAAATTCATCTTTACCGAATGCTCCGGTTTGTTGTCCTGTGCCTTCAATTCATTTCAAACTAATGACAGCTCCAGCATGGGTTTTTTGTCAAACTAAGGCGCAACTTGACAGAAGCAAAATGCTAGATCCACCAGACACAGCTCTGTAAATCAAGGACTCTGGAGACTTTGGTTATAAAAGAAAAACTCAGTTTACTAAGCACAGAAAAACACGTTCATCTACAGCGAGCGACACACAGGAAGAGACAGGAAAACCGAAAGTCAAAACAGAACTTTGCAGCTGTTAATCTTTCTTGCTCCAAGCAGCAACTCCCTAGAAGTTCTCAGAAGAAGAGAGCTTATCTTAAGGTCACTTAATCACAGCCTCAACATAAACATTGGAGTACAGCATTTCCATTCTCAGTGGCATCCATATTTGCTACACAAGAATTACACTTAAAACTCATACACATAATACATATAATCCTTACAGTTTTCTGGGGCTGGGAGTGCGTGACTTTCCCAAAGTCTTTAAATAGCTGTGTGGGGAGTCAAATTGTTGCCGAGCAATTTAGAATGGCTGTGGATAGAGAGACCCAAGCAATTGTGGGTTGCCTAGTGAGAAAGATAAGCCAGTACTTCAGAATAAATCTTACCAAGTTGAAGAGAAAGCCACCAAGGTTTTTATTTCATTCCAGGTGGAAAGAATGACGATGGCAGTAGCCTGCCAAAAAAAATCGACATGCCCATTGGGTAGAGAGATACAATATTTATAGCCTTCAGATTCAAAAGTTCCCATGTCCACCACTCCCCCCCACCCCCCAAGCTGGCTTTGTTATGATTGGCTGTGACGTCAGCAAGCCAGCAGGAGAGCCAATGGTGGCCTGAGTCCTGCTTTGGCCACTCAGCCAATGAGGTGGAAGGGAGGCAGGCAACAGAGAAACAATAAAGAAATGTCTAGTTGCCAGGATTTAAGGTGACCAATGTTTGCCAAACGGGGATGGGACTTGGAGGCACTGTTTTACAGTGGCTCTGGTCATTCCTAGAGGGCCGATCCGATAAGGTGTTGCTGGGAGACACCTGTTCAACCCCACAACCGTTGTCTTGTGGGGTTCCACAGGGTTCAATTCTGTCTCCCATGCTGTTTAACATCTACATGAAGCCGCTGGGAGATCATCCGGAGTTTCGGGGTACGGTGTCATCTGTCGCAGATGATGTCCAACTCTTTCACTCCTTTCCACCTACTACTAAGGAGGCTGCCAGGTCCTGAACCGGTGCCTGGCCGCTGTGACGGTCTGGATGAGGGCGAACAAATTGAAATTGAATCCAGACAAGACAGAGGTACTCCTGGTCAGTCGCAAGGCCGAACAGGGCATAGGGTTACAGCCTGTGTTGGATGGGGTCGCACTCCCCCTGAAGATGCAGGTTCGCAGCTTGGGTGTGATCCTGGACTCATCGCTGAGCCTGGAACCCCAGGTTTCGGCGGTGACCAGGGGAGCATTTGCACAGTTAAAACTTGTGTGCCAGCTGCGCCCGTACCTTGGGAAGTCTGACTTGGCCACAGTAGTCCACGCTCTGGTTACATCCCGCCTAGACTACTGCAACGCTCTCTACGTGGGGTTGCCTTTGAAGACAGCTCAGAAGCTTCAACTAGTCCAACGTTCGACAGCCATGATTCTAACAGGAGCGGAACGCAGGGAGCATACAACCCCCCTGTTGCGCCAACTCCACTGGCTACCGATTTGCTACTGGGCTCAATTCAAAGTGCTGGCGTTGACCTTTAAAGCCCTAAACGGTTCCGGCCCAAGCTACCTATCCGACTGCATCTCTGCCTATGAACCCACCAGGACTTTGAGATCTTCCGGGGAGGCCCTGCTCTCGATCCCGCCAGCTTCACAAGCACGGCTGGCGGGGACGAGAGATAGGGCCTTCTCGGTGGTGGCTCCCCGGCTGTGGAACGCCCTTCCCACAGACATTAGATTAGCACCATCTCTAAAGGTATTCCGCAGGAAAGTGAAGACCTGGTTATTTGTGCAGGCGTTCGAATAATTTAGTGCAATGATTGGTAATGACATAGGAATGGAACAATGGATGACGAATCTGGATTGTGTTTTTTAGTGATGAGACACTAGTGAATGGTTATTACAGTAATTGTGTACTAACTGTGTATTAGATTAGGTTGTTAAATGTGTTTTTATATTGGTGCATTGAATTTTGCTGTTTCCTGTGTGCTGTAAACCGCTGTGAGTCGCCTCCGGGCTGAGAACAGTGGTATAGAAGTAAAGTAAATAAATAAAAGTAAATAAATAACCTGTAGGCTCTCAAGCCTAGCCAAGGTTATTGTTTGATTCTTTGGATTAACGTCTTGGTCTAGCCCCTAGAGACTTGATCCGTTGTTTTTACAGTCCTGAGATATGGAGTCCATTGAAGACGTTAATGTTGGTCTCTGGCTGGTCAGGATTGACACAATGGAGAGGCTGTAGCAAAGTTCCTGGTTTCTCACAGATAGGAAGATGCCCTTTGTGTTGAGTGATTTAAATGTCCATGACTCGTATCGTCCCAGATGGTCTGGCTTTGCCGTCCGAAGTCTGATCTGATAAGAGCTATTTATTCTTATTGTCCATGCAAGTGAGCTTGGTGAAACCTTTTGTTAAGGGATTACCAGCTCAAGAAGCGTGGGGGCTTCCAGAGTCAAGAGTTGGTGGTTTATGAGAAACCTTCATATTTTCATATAAACATACATACTAGGCTTGGTTGATCCAGTTCGTTAATTTCTTAATTCGTTATTTATTCGTTATTTTTACACCTTTACAAGCGATTTTGACGCATTTTAGCAACCCGGAAGTGTTTTTGCCACATCGAAGCCGCGTCCACCATCTTCCATATGACTCCCCCAATGAATCGTAAATGCTGGGGGCGTGGCCTTCAGGAACAGCTGTTCTCTCAGCTTTCCTTCCCACCTTGCAACCACCTTCCCACCATGCCCACCTCGCAAAGCCGCCAATGCAAAGAGGAAAGATATAATATAATATCATATAAATAATATAATATATATAATATATTATATAATATAATATAATAATATTATAGTAGTATAATATATTATAATATATTATAAAATAATAATATACAATTATAATAATATAATATATAATATATAATATATCTATATATATAAATTTCCTCCTGGCGTCGTATGAGGAAACAAAACTCTAAAACCCCCCAACGAAACTCCACCAAACTTCCCATGCCCCAAGGGCAACCAACAAGGTACAAACTAATCCACTCAGAAATCAAAAACACACAACAACAACCACAATAAATGGCAAAGCAACTGAGCATGCGCACTGGCGCAAACTCCCTGGCGCGCGCACACACATGGCCCCTCACCCTCCCCCCCGGCGCGGCACACACACGCGCGCGCGCACGGCCCCTCCCCCCCCGGCGCGGCACACACACACACACGCGTGCCCCCTCTCCCACCCGGCGCGGCACACACGCGCGCGCACCCCCAACCCCCCCCGGCGCGGCACACACGCGCGCGCACGTGCCCCCTCTCCCCCCTCCGGCGCGGCACACACACACATGCACATACCCGCGCGCACGCGCCCCCTCACCCCCCCGGCGCGGCACACACAACGCGCGCGCGTGCCCCCCCACCCCCCCCGGCGTGGCACACGCGCACGCGCGCACCCCCTCTCCTCCCTCCGGTGCGGCACATGCACACACGCGCGCCCCGCGCGCCCCCCTCACTCCCTGGCTCGGCCACACACTTGCGCGCGGTGCGCCCCCTCTCCCCCTCCGCGCGGCACACAAGCGCATGCGCGCCCAATCCCCCTCCCACCTCCTCCCATCTTACCCTCCTCACGTTACCTCCAAGAAGGAAAGAGGAAAGAGAGAAGGAAGAAAAGAGACTGCAGAAGAGAAAAAGGAAGAAGGAGGGAAAGAGGGAGCGAAGGAAGGGGATAAAATGTAGAGAAAGAGGGGGGAAAGAAAGGAGGAAAGAGAGAAGGAAGAAAAGAGACACAGCAGAAGAGAAAGAAAAAGGGGGAAGGAAGGAAAGCGATAGAGAAGGAAGGAGAGAAGGAAAGACGGGAAGGAAGGAAGGAAACAGGGAGTGAAGGAAGGAGGGAAAGAAGGGGAGATAGGGGGAAGGTTGTCCACAGCAACGCGTGGCGGGTACAGCTAGTAGCATTATAATCAACATAGACCATCATCTTTCTTAGAGAGTTTTATTATTTTTCATGCATAACTAGTATTATATATTATATATATATAATATAATATATTATAATATATTTTAAAATAATAATATTCAATTATAATAATATAATAATATAATAATATAATAATATAATGGTGCTCCATGCAGTCATGCTGGCCACATGACCTTGGAGGTGTCTATGGACAACGCCGGCTCTTCGGCTTAGAAATGGAGATGAGCACCACACCCCAGAGTCAGACAAGACTGGACTTAATGTCAGGGGACTACCTTTACCTAATAATATAATATATAATATAATATACAATAATAATATTATAATATAATTATATAATATATGATACATAATATAATAATATAATATAATATACAATAATATAATATAATAATATTATTATAATATAATATAGTTTGGTTTTGGTTAGTTGTTAGTTTTATCACCAACAG